GAATATACAGTGAAGTTTTTGAAGAAAAAAATTAAATACTTTTTAAGTTATAGTCGATCTCCAAAGGCGCTAAAAAAGGTCCTTCACTGCTGCAGTGATTCCGGCCTACTCCGTGAATGAAATCTAAAAAAAAAAAAATCTCTGCTAGATGATATTGTATGCACAATGACTTAAGATAAAAAAAATAGTCGAATTTTACCCAAGGTTTTGGCCGTTTTTGGCCTGCCTTTTTTGATCAGTTAAAAAATCGATAGGTCATTGTACGGGGAACTATATATAGAACATGTAAAAAAAATTCGATAGTGGTCGGTTCATTTGTTTCTGAGTAATCACTGCAGTAAATTAGGAAAATGCTGTTTCGAGAAAAACGCGTTTAAAGATAAAATGATAGTTTTCACTCGTAGCTAATTAGACTCTCTAGCTGCCGAGCGGATGCTCTTTAAATTGCTATAACTCAAAAACTATTTGAGGTATCGATTTGAAATGTTCACATGTTATGTTTAAAGGTGTAATCTACCGAAATATGAATTTTTGAAATTTCACACTAAGTATGCCCTTTAATGAGTAATTTTTACATGGTTTTTCTGTCTCATCCGTTACGGAGTTAATCTCAAGAACGTTCTGATATAACGTTCTTAACATACGAAGAGGTCCTGCATATTGCTCTTAAGGCAAAGTTTACTTAAAAAAGTATTTATAAATCAAAGTTTTTGTAGTTAAGTAAAAATATAAAAATTTTTATTTTAATATTTTTTAAATGGCGGCTTTTAAAATCGCCGCAGAAAACACGTCCCTTTTGTTGGCGAATGACTCGTTAACTGTGAAACGCATTATCAGGAAGCAAAAATCAAAACTGTTTGTTATTCTGTATCACATTGGCTATGGCCGGAGCTACAATGAAATATTTTTACAAAAAAAATTTTTAATAAAATATCGGACTTTTTAATTTGTTTTACCTTTTTTTTAAATTTTAATTGTTTATAAATTTTTAAAATATTATAATAATTATTATTTTTGCTGTAGTACCGACCAGTTAGTTAGAAAAAATTACGTTTAGTTCATGTTGATACGTCGAATGGGTTATTAATACAATAAGAGTGTCTGTCACCCATTTTAAAAAAGCGAATGAAGTATTTATTCTACCGGATTTAACGCTTGGCGCGCTCTGCTCTCTCCTCTTCTATACTTACTTCTTGGTCTTGCGGCAATTCGGGATTAATTTTCTATATTATTTCTAAGCGCATTTCGTTTTTCGAACATTTTTTAGAGGAACCTGGCCTCAGGACCTTAAACTACATCCTTTAAATTCTATCTATACAAGACTTAGAGGCTGAAAACCATTGATGGTTGCCGTACGTTTAAGCATATCTAAAAGTAACATTTTGTTTTTTAAGCTTAGTTTGAACCTATAATCCAAAGCAAATTCTCTTGGATTCATTGACTTTAATTCCTTAAGTAAGTAACCATTATTTTAACGTTTTTGAAAATTGTTGTAAACTATAAGTGACCGCGACCGGCCTCGAATGTATGCTAAGTATTGAGGCATCATCTGTTGGGCTCCATACCAAGGACTGCTGTTTGATTTCGTTCCCAACATCGTATGGGTCAATTAACTTCTTGTTGGTTGTTCTTTCAGAAGCTTCCTTTAAAAAAGTACTGCCAACCTCTCTCTCTCTCTTCTTCTCGAACAAGAAACCATACCAAATCACCAATGGTACTATAGGAGAAGTCCATGGCACTACCAATAAGATCAGAAAGCATTTTAAAATATGGATATTTAATATATGGAAATCGTGTACCAAATTTGAAAGGAATTGATTTTATGGTAATTTTCGAATGAGTTTCAATGTACACGAACTTTTGAAATATTGCGAGAAAAACTTGTTGAAAATCTTAGTTATATTTGGGCGCTGGCCTGCCGAGAAGAGACACACTAATTAATAACGTTGAGAATTTTCTTCCGATCGTTTTCAGATATTAAGGCAATATTTATAGAACGTTTCGCTACTTTAAGTTGAAAAAATAAAAAGAATTTTTCTGTACATATTTAAACTCAAATCAATAGAAAAGTAGCGATATTTATGAATTTTCGAGATAAAATTCAGATTCTAAAATAAATTGTAAATTATCATCTGCAAGTATTACTCAAAATTTAAAAATATATTACATGTCCCTCATTTACGCGTCAAATTTATTATTCGTTGAAATATCTTCTTTTTTTTTGTTTTTTTTTTCGTTGAAAATGTCCTAAAATTCTCATTCAAAATTTTTCTCAGTCTCCATGCTGAATAATATATTCGCCAAATGTTGGCCTGATAACCCATTTTCTGCACTACAACAATTCTAATCAACAGTGCGAAAGTAATGCATTTTCTATGCAAATACGCGTTGCTCGCTTTAAAGTGAAAACGAAAAGAAAAAGGAAAACGAAAATGGCTCTACATACTATTACGCATATCTACTAATAATTGCACTCGAGTGCCAGTACCATTGAGGCACAGTGTGTGGGTTTGACATGGAAAGCGCGAAAATATTCGTTATAATTTCGATAATCGATTCTCCAGTGCAGTGTTATTATTTCTTTTTTTTAACATCAAACGAAATACAATAATAAAAACGAAATTAAAAAAAAATTATCTGCAAAAGATTATTTTTGACACTTTTCGACGTGGATTAACCCACTAACAGTGCATCGATGAACTTACTACAGTTTTTGGCGAAGAAATTCCATCAAGGATCAGTACTTATCACTGGTATAGTGAGGTCGTAAATCACTCCAAGTCAAATTTCGTGAAGCTCGTTCATACTCATTTTTTGTTCCAAAAACTATTTAAGCAAGGAGTGAACTGATTTTTTAAGATCGTTCTTGGTTCTACGGTGAGATTGAGACTGATATAGTTATTAGAGGGATCAGCATTCTACTGTCAAAGCAATTTGTTCACGTTCACAATATGGCAAGCGCTCAAAAAAGGCTCATGTCGCCTGTCGGTCGAGAGAAATATTGAAAACTTACGACATCATGACAGGGGACATGTATTGAAGTATAAAAAAATATTCTTTAATTATTATTTTATTACAAAATGGCCTTTATTTAATCCATGTTTTTTTGAAAGGCGTACACGGGGGAACCGAATTCTTCTAAAGAATAAGACCTGGAACAAAAATGCAAAAAGTTTTATGTTCTACAAACTATGGTCTTTGGACGGTAGGACGGATTTATTTTTTAACTAAATTTTGTGAAAGTGACACACTTTTTTTTTACTATAAAAAGATTGATTTTTGACTAAAAAATATGCATCTAAATTATTAAAAAAAAAAAATTATTCAAAAAAAAAAATGTATTTGTGAAGCTACCATCAAAATTTGACAGATAAATCAATGCGTTAGGGTCCGAATAATCTGTTCTGTTAATTTGGAAAATGTGATTTTGAGAAAAAAGGATTTCGAAGTTTTCATTGCCCACGGCGCATGCTCTGAAGGGCTACAGCAAAATAAAAAGTTCACTTTAAACATGTCATTTTAAAACATATCTTTTCTAGGACCCAAAGGCCCCCTGTGTGCGAAATTGCATTTCCCAAATTCCGGGAATGGCCTTACCCTTTAAAGTAAAGCCAAATCCAAGAAAATTTGTTCGCGAACGAAGCACTTCCAAGCAAATGTTTGCCTGCTTTTTAGACAAAATGGACATATTGCAATTGTACCACTCGAATCACATAGAACAGTAACTTCTGAATGGTACACAACCATTTCTTTGCTAGTTGTCTTTCAAGAAATCAGGAAAATTAACCTCCGCAGGCGAGGATTACTGTTCACTAGGACAAAGAGAGATCTCCCACATGGACTGAAACAATTGCATTTTTGAGCACTCAAAACATTTTCAAGTTTTTCATTTGTTGAGTCAAACACCGTCTTGGCACCGTATGATTTTTTTTATTTCCGTGTAAAAATATATTCATAGATCAACGTTTTTCAACACCTGAAGAGGCGGTTGATGCATTCAGAATGCATCTTTAGGAGTTAAATCAATCGGAGTGGTTCAAAGTCACAGGTAAATTTGAGAGAAAAATTCTTCAAAAACAACAATAAAGCAATTTTCTTTGACTAACATTTGTTTTTGTGCTCTAATCCCTAAGTATAACGCACAGTCTCCAATTTAAAAGGCAACGAAAAATTCGAAAAATAAAAATTACTTTGAATTTAATTATTAATTATTTTCTTATTCCAATCCAAGTGCGCTCCACTGTACAGCAATCGCTCAAACGATGTACTAACGAACTCCACTACAAAGTTTGTTTGCTTTGCGGCGTTGAAGTGAAATCATGGCTTGTGTGGTGGCTTGTACTTGTACTAAGTTTTGAAATGCTCAAGATTTGTTCAAGTGTTGAATTTTACTCGCAGCGAAGTTCTCTCACAATCTGACATAATTAAAATCGTATTTACAGACTCTTAAACAACTACAACAAAAAAAAAAAAAAAACAGAGTAAGTACTACGCGAATGATATTGCTGCTGCGCTGCTTCTTCTTCTTCTTCTTCTTTCTCTCCTACCCATTTAGCTGCGTTTGTCGCTTTTGCTCCATTACTGCGTATTTTGTAGTTTTAAAAATTCGTTCTTCCGCGTTGATGAGTCTAATTAACAAACTTCAATCATTGTCGTTCTCTGCAGTGCTGCTGATTCACTTTTTGACTTTTCCTCATTTACACGCGTTCATTTTAGTGCTTTGCCTTGGAGAAATGAGTTGCTGATTTTACTCGGATTTTTAAAAAAAATTTTTTTTTATCTCTTTTTTTGGTAAAATTCTGTGGAGAAACTTGGCCGAATTCTCGGGCTTTCCAATTGTTTTTCTTCTTTTCTTTTTTTTTTTTGTTTGTGATGTCATTTGTGCGTTAATATTATTGTTCAATTTTTCTGCCTGATATATTGATATATTATTTTAATTAATTAATATTCTTTGCAATAGTTTCTTATACACATTTGCGTTTTTTTTTATTTCTTTTTAGCTCAAGAAACTGCAAAACAAGATAAAACACAAGGTAAAGGTAACACAAAAATACTAAACACTTACACATACATACATACAATGCATATACAGCAGTATAATCACAAAAAACACAGTTAGAAATATTGTTAAAAATTTCACACACATTTAATTTTAATAAAATTATCGATACAAAATTTTGATTAGTTGAATTTTTTAACATTTTGCATAAAATCCTTTGAAAATTATAAATCAACTTTTTTTTAAAGTGAAAAACTTGAAAAATATATATTTTTTCTACATAAAAGGTGTATTCAAGAAATAACAAGTATTTTAATTTTTGTAATAAAAGATTTGTCTAGTCGCCTGCATTAAATTGTCACATTCAAGGTCGTTTACATTAAGGATTATGGCCCTTGTGTCAGCGCTTCAATCTTCGAAATCAAACTCGCTCTCTGAGAAAGAGAACAAAGTCTATTATATTAGCATTGCGCTGTTAATGTCTTCTCAACGTTTAAGTTTCTCTTCGCTTCTTTTGGAAATAGGAAAATGTCACACGAAGGTATACCTTTCGAATATAAGGGTTGGGGCATCGTTGCCGAATTGTTTTCGGGTAAAAATTGGTGAGCAAACAATAAAGTGTGAACCGGCGAGTTTTCACCATGCACAAATCCTGGGCGTTTTTTTCGGATTTCTTCGGTCTAACCGAGTGACATTGCGTACAATGCGTTGATTGAGCCTTGGTTTCGATATCGTCATATCCGTGCAGCTATGTTTTTCACCTGTTGACTTTGTTTCAATGCCCTATAATTTACTTTTGGGTTCTATACAGAGATTTTCAACTATCGATGTCATTTCGGTTCGTTAACATGTTAAATAAACTTAATTTCGTTTCATTCAACGCCCTGTTATCGAAACGAAGAGTGAAAATGTTATGTATAAACCGAACAAACTCATCGTTAAAATGTCTTTTTGCTATAATATATGTTAACTATTAACATCATCGATATAACCATTATCTGTTAAATGTTTAACATTATCTGTTAACAATTTAACATCGTCTGTTAACGAATTAACCAGTACCTGTTAACGATTTAACACTAATTGTTAACGATTTAACATTATCCGTTAGCGATTTAACATTATATGTTAATGATTCAACATCAGCTATTAGAGAGTTAACATTTTCTGTTAAAAGTTTTTCTAAAAACGATATAACCATTATCTGTTAACTGTTTAACATTACCTGTTAACAATTTAACATCGTCTGTTAACGAATTAACCAGTATGTTAACGATTTAACATCATATGTTAATGAGTTAACATTTTCTGTTAACGACTTAACATTATCTGTTAACGATTTAACATTGTCTCTTAACGGTTTAACATAATATGTTAACGAATTAACATCTTCTATTAACGAGTTAACATCTTCTATTGTATTAACGAGTTAACATTTTCTGTCAACGATTTAACATTATTTGTTTTCGATTTGGCTTCATCTGTTAACGATTTAACATTATCTGTTAACGATTTAACATTAACTACATTTTTTCGTTGCGGTTAAAAACGAAATAAAATTTATTTAGATACCCTTTCCGAGCGTTTCAACCGAATCGATGTACTTTTTCGTTACAATGCACCCTTAGTTCTGTAGCATCCTCACTATTTTTGAGCTGCATTACTCAAAAAAGTTTTTAATTTTCAAATAGTTTATACCTCTAAGCTGTTATATTCATGATAGGAAAATTATATCGCTCTCCTACCAGAAACAAATAAAAAAGTGCGGCCTAAATATGAAGCAACACTTTACGTGTGTACAAATAATGGTGAACCAAACTACTACAGTGAGAGCAAAATATAACAAACACAAATATAATATTTAAGCTATGTTCATAAACGGAATAAAATATTAAAAAAAATCGTAAATGTTACGGGTAAACAAAAGTGTCCCATGTAATGACGATTATTTGCATATATAGTGGGAAATGTTATTGTTGTAGAATTTTACTGATTTTCCCCAACATAAAATTATATTTTTGTTGCTTTAATAGCTTTTAGAAATCTTCTGGCGTTTTACGTATTATTAGAATTTGAATGGTTAGGATACAATGAGGTGGGCAGTAAATATGAAATAATATTAAGTAAATGCATATGTACATAATATACAACAACAATGAAAATCTTAAATTTATTTAACTACTCATGCATATGTTATGTGTTATAAGCATAAAAAATGGCAGCTGTTTTACAACGCTGATTTGCTTAATAATATATATATATATGTAATATATATATATATGTAATATTATTATACATATATATACAAACATATACTTATATAGTAAAATAATGTATTTGCCAAAAGCTTAATTCAAGAAATGTAGTTTCTTGCTTTATAGACATTTTCATTCCATTTATCTGTACATAAAAAGCTTTGTCCTGAATGGCTGACGGATCAACCAACAACCTAAACCACTGAGCGCATGAGGCTGAAACGAGGAGCATGTGTCATGCGAAGATTTTCTGGGAAGTGGACCTTATTGTAAAATTTGTTGTTATAGTTTCATTATACTTCATTAGTCCTTTACCAACATTAGCCAATAAACAGCTTTTCCTTTGTACTAGAACTGATCTTTAAAAAAAGATGGATTTGGTTCGAATTACTTATAAATTTAAGGCACAAATTTTAGTTCTTTCCAAGGAATGCAGAATACGGCAACACAGGTTTTACTAAGATTTATTTCCTAAGGAAATTAAGTATGATTGTTGTCCTACGAAATTTCGAAGAAATGTTGCATTGTTTTGCCACCGAAGATATCCGATTGCAGAATTTACATAATCTTTTAACACATTTCGTGAACCAGAAATTATACAAGGTGCTTCAGTTAAGTAATGAGGCTGATTCCATAAAAACCGTATATTTCAAAATTATTCTACAACTCTGCCATCCCCTTCAATGTAGTCCCCTTGGGCTGCTGTACAACGTTTCCAGCGCGTTTTCCATGCTTTGTAACATTTCTGGAACGCTTCGACTGTGATGTCCGCGAGTACTCTCGTCACAGCCGCCTGGATGTCCTCAATCGACTCAAAATAAGTTCCTTTGTCCATCGCAACACGGCGATCCCTTTAGAGGCCAAATACTCCAAATACTGGGACACGCTGAGGGAGTTGTGTCACGTCGCGTTGTCGTGATGAAGGATTCAGTTACGAGCGATGTCCTGTTGACTCGTTTTCGCAATCTTTCGAGTAGGGAAAGGGAATTTCGAGGTCGTAGGGTTACCACAATCGCGGCAATATAATCAGTCTCGTTACTTAATTGTCACACCTCGTTGGTGGATTAGCTTGCCGACATTCATTATTCAGGAAGCAAGCAGTTGCTTAAGCAATCGATTGTGTCCGATTCGTATTACAAATTAAGACCTCTCTTAGACAAAGCCGAAACCAATTCGCTATCTCCAAAAGCGTATGTTCTGTTCACCTGTTTTCTTTGTAGAAACTGAAAAGGAGCTCCTGAAAACTAAAAAAAAAAATACCCATCCAGTTATTTTTTCATAAATGTAAGCAAAAGAGTTTGAAAATTGCAATACACTTTCGTTTGAAGAAATTTCTTTTCGCTTGTTTAATCGAAATTCTCCTTCTTATACTGTTTAACATTTACGGTACAATGTCAAACGTCAAAATTATTTGCCTAAAATAGTGGTAAGACGTTAAAGAAGAAGGATAAACAGTTTCTTGAGCATTTTATTGAGAGCTGGAATCTAAGCTTGAAATTAAATTATTATATTTATATTTATATACTATTTTCGAATTTCCATATATACGTAAGTGAGGGCAAAATCTAGTTAATAATACAAACAAATCTGCAAAAAAAAAGTTCATTATTTTTTTGAAAAAAAAAAAAAAATAAATTGCCAATAATACAAGGCATAAACTATTGGAAAGATGCGAAATTTAAATAATCGGAATATATCCATATATAAAAATATATGCAAATTTCTCAATTTTTATGAAAATTTTAATGAATTTTTTGCATAATTCTTGATAGTTCAGCTATGCTTTTTATACTTTTCTTTTTATTTCTGGTATTACATAATGGAAAAATATGGAAAACTTCTATCTGTGATATTCCTAAACAGATCTTATGTATATATGTATGTTCCTTCCGGATTTCATTTTGCCTCCTCTCATATCATTTACCTTATTATGCATGCAAGAAAATGTAATAACAAAAGTAAATGTGCACTTTTATGACTTTTCGCAACCATCCGTTGGGTTTATGTGCTTGTGCTTGCTTGCTTCTTTTTTTATTACTATTTGTTGTCGAGATTAGGCCTAATAGTTTGTGATTTCTCTTGTCAACCGCTTTGGTTGGTTACCTTACTTATTATGGTACCCTTGTGGCAAATATGAGATTGTGAGTATGTGTGTTAGTCCTTCCAGCATGTACATACGAGTACATATGTGCCCACAATCAAATACAAATGTGCAGTAGAAGGCAAAATATTTGCAACTGAAATGTTCAACAAACAGAGATGCTCAACAAACTCAACATAATTTCGGATCGCTAACAAAAAAAATTAACTCAACGAACAGAAATCGTTAATTTCAAAATAGCTGCGCTTGCTATGATATTAACGAATTATTTAGTATCTGTTAACAACTTAACATTATCTGTTAACGAATTATTTAGTATCTGTTAACAACTTAACATTATCTGTTAACGAGTTATTTATTATTTGTTGACATATTAACATTATCTGTTAACAATTTAACAATATAACATCTGTTAAGGATTTAACATCTGTTAACGATTTGACATCTGTTAACGATTTGACATCTGCTAACATTTTAACATAACTCAACATTATCTGTTAACTATTTAACATTATCTGTTAGCGACTTCACTAGCATCTGTTAACAATTAAACATTATCTGTTAACGAATTAACTAGTTAACGATTTAACATCTGTAAACGATTTAACATCTGTTAATGATTTAACATCTGTTAACGAATTGACATCTGTTAACGATTTAACATCTGTTAACCACTTA